GTAATTATGATGCAAAAAAAATTCTTTGTCCGATGAGTATGGAGACGGATACATGCATGTCCGAATGATTGCATATTCTATAGGAATGAGAATGGAGTTTTAATAAAGTGTCCAAAATGTGGGTTATCACGATACAAGTCAAGAAACAACAGTGAAGATAGTGGTCACATAGAAAAGAATGGTACTGCTTTGAAAGTAGTTTGGTACCTTCCACTCATGGCTAGACTTAAGCCTTTGTTTGTGAATCCCAAAGACGCTAAAAACCTAAGATGTCAAGCAGATGAGAGAACAACTAATGGGCTGCTTCGTCATCCAACTGATTCAAAGCAATGGAAAAATATTGATCAAGAATTCCCTCAATTTTGTCAAGAATGTAGAAATCTTATGTTTGGCTTAGCTACTAATGAATGAACCCATTTGGTAATTTAAGTACCAATCACAACTGTTGGCCCGTTATACTGATAATTTAAGATTTATTTCCTGGATTGTGCATGAAAAGAAAGTACATGATGTTGTCAATGTTGATATCTGGTCCAAAGTAGCTTGGAAATGACATAAATGTTTATCTCAGGCCACTAGTTGAAGACTTGAAGTTGTTGTGGGTTGATGGGGTTGAAATATTTGATGCCTTTGCTTCAGAAACTTTCATGATGCATGCCATGTTATTTTGCACCATTAATGACTTCCTAACTTACGATAATTTGTCAGGGTACAGTGTGAAGGGTTATAAAGCATATCCTATATGTGAAGAAAACACTGCATCTCATCAATTAAAACACTACAGCTCATCAATTAAAACACGGAAGGAAGACAGTGTATATGCGTCATCGGTAATTTTTACAATCTAATCATCCATACCAAAGGTTAAAGAAAGCATTCAATGGAGAACAAGAGAAAGACAATGGACCCATTCCACTTACTGGACTTGAAGTTCTTGAAAAGGTTAATAGAGTACATTATCTATTTGGGAAAACGTCCAAGAAGTCTTCTGTAACTACCCCTTGGAAGAAGAAATCAATATTCTTTGATCTTCCATATTGGTCAAAGTTAGATGTTAGACATTGCATAGATGTCATGCATGTAGAAAAGAATGTTTGTGATAGCTTGATTGGTATACTACTAAACATCCAAGGAAAAACAAAAGATGGAGTGAATGCGCATTTGGATTTGGTTGACATGAAGATCAAACAAGAGTTGGCACCAAGAGAGATTGGTAAACGTACTTATTTTCCCCCTGCATGTTACACAATGTCCAGACAAGAGAAGATAAGTTTTTGTCTTTGTTTAAAGAGTATCAAGGTACCACAAGGATACTCTTCAAATATCAAGAGCTTAGTGTCAATGCAGGACTTAAAGCTTGTTGGACTCAAGCTCACGATTGCCACGTCTTAATGCAACAATTGTTACTGGTGGCAATTCGTGGAATTTTGCCCGAAAAAGTTAGGCAGACCATAACTCGATTATGCTTATTTTTCTCGTCAATTTGTAGTAAAGTCATCGATCCTACAAAGTTATATGAACTTCAAAGCGAAATTATCATCATCTTGTGTCAGCTAGAAATGTTTTTCCCTCCATCCTTTTTTGACATCATGGTGCATTTACTTGTTCATTTGGTCAAAGAAATAAAGTTGTGTGGACTAGTATACTTAAGATGGATGTACCTTATTGAGCGTTATATGAAGATTTTGAAAGGGTACGTCAAAAATCAATATCGTCTAGAAGGTTCAATGATTGAAAGATATATTGCTGAAGAAAGTATCGAGTTTGGCTCTAATTATATGACTAAAGCATTATTGGGAATGGAGATGTGCCTCTCATTCTTGGGAGACCATTTATGAAGACTGCTAGAGTTTTAATTTATGTGGAGAATGGTAAGCTTAAAGTGAGAGTTCAAGATAAAGAGGTGAATTTTGATGTATTTAAAGCCATGACACATCCTAAAGATGATAAAGCATGTTTTCAACTTGATATACTTGATGAAGTTTGTATGGTGTAAGAAAGGATGGTACGTTATTCTTCTCCATTAGAGAAAACTCTTATTGATGCTTGTGAAGACTTGAATGAAGAAGAAGAGAAATTAATTGATGAATGTATGACGGATTTGGAGACATTGAAGGAGATTCCAGTGAAGGATGCTATGTTTGAGACGATTGATACCAAAGAAAAAGTCAAAGAAAAGAAGTTAGAATTAAATATGTTACCATCACATTTGAAGTATGTTTTCTTAGAAGAAGATGGAACAAAGTCAGTCATCATTAGTAATTCTTTGTTTCTTGAAGAAGAAGAAAAGTTGATAGAAATATTGAAAGCCAACAAAGAAGCTATTGGGTGGTCAATCTCAGATCTCAAAGGTATAAGTCCAACTTATTGCATGCACAAGATCTTTATGGAAGATGACTATAGGCCGAGTGCTCAACCACAGAGAAGGCTAAATTCAGTGATGAAGGAGGTGGTTAGAAAAGAAGTATTGAAGCTCTTGGAAGATGACATTATTTATCCAATCTCTAACAGTAAATGGGTGAGTCCAGTACAGGTAGTTCCAAAGAAAGGTGTGATGAGAGTGATTTATAATGAGAATAATGAGCTTATTCCTACTCGGACTGTTACTGGATGGCGAATGTGCATTGATTACAGGAAGTTGAATAAAGCCACTAGGAAGGATCATTTTCCCCTTCCTTTCATGGATCAGATGCTGGAGAGATTGGTAGGTCAGGCTTTTTATTGCTTTTGGATGGATACTCTGGATATAACCAAATTGTGGTAGATCCAAAAGACCAAGAGAAGACGACATTCACATGTCCTTTTGGTGTCTTTGCCTACAGAAAGATGCCATTTGGGTTATGTAATGCTCCAGCCACGTTTCAAAGGTGTATGCAAGCAATTTTCGCAGATCTCATAGAGAAGTGTATTGAAGTCTTCATGGACAATTTTTCAGGTTTTGGAAATTCTTTCCAAAGATGTTTGGTGAATATGGATATTGGTGAATCTCATACACTTGTGTGTTTGAGTGAAACACTTTATCTAGTGAGGAAAGATTCCATGAACACATAAGTACATCTATGCTTAGTTGATTGATCATTCATGAGAATAACATTGGTTGGATATTATGTGATTATGTGAACACTAAAGCATGTGTGCATCTTGACTGAATTCTTTGTGTTGAGCTAATTTGAGTAATTACTTGTCTTGAAAGAAGGAGTTGTGAATGTGGTGAACCGTTGTATGGATTGGTGGAATATTGAGTTACATCTTGTTTTCTTGAGGACAAGCTAAGTTCTAAGTTTGGGGTTGTGATAACATTTGAAAAACTGTTATTTTTATACTTAATTTTGACCTTAAAGACAACCTTTATGACTTATAAATTAGCTTGGAATCATGTTTTTTATTAAGTTTTGAAATAAGAGAGTTGGATAGGTTTTATGCTTGATTTTCCTTGTTTTTGAAGGTTTTAAGATGAATTGAATGAAAGAAGTGAAGTAGCCAGGAGTTGGATTCAGAAAAGGAAGAAAAAATGCATAAAAGAAGAGCCGCAAGTACCGCTCAATGCCACTTTTACCGCTGAGCGGCACTCTGAAGTCCCGCAGTCACCGCTGAGGGGCAAAACTACAACTGAGCGTCAAATAGAAAAACCGCACTTACCGCTCAGCGGTAATTACCACTAAGCGTCATTTTATTGGGCCTTGGGACACTTTTCTGTAATTTTTAGAAAGCTATATAAGGTTTTAGCCGAATTAGGGTTAGTATCTTTGGATAGAACGAAGCAAAATCACACTTTCTTCACCCCTTGAAGGAGGATTTTGGATACTCAAGATCTATTCTTCAACTTTTAGGGTTCTATCTTTCATTCTTTCATTATTTTTCATCTAGTTTCACCATGTCTATGGTGAACTAAACTTTCATTGTTGTTGGGGAACCGATGTAATCCTTTGAAACTCTTATGTATTGAATTGGTTATTTAATCTATATGCTTTCTTTCATTAATTGTTAGGGTTTTTCTTCTATACTCTATGCATGCTTTGTTTAACTCATTCAATTGCATGATCATTGATGTTATTTGTATGGACACATATGAGTAAATATTGCCTAGACATAGGGATAGGAGGATTGGTTGCCTTTAAGCTTATGTGCGAATGTAATGCATGAATAATTGCTAGGGAGACAAGACATTGTAAACTAGTGACTAGAAGTAGGCTTTCTTCATCGAGACATCGGGTTTAAGGTAAATTAGAAAGTGACATTAACATTAATGAAGAAAGATGAATTCTTGAATACATGAGAGTGGATAGGATGAATCAGAAACCCCAACAACATCATCATTCCATACTTTACATCAATCACTTTTGCTTCTTTGGATCCAATTGATCAACACATGCATTCATATTTAATTTTCAGTATTTGCATTTAAACCTACAAGAATTCGTTCACAAGTCTAATTTAATCAACAAATCACATAATTATTTAGGCCGTGAGTTCTTTGGGAAACGATACTTGGTCTTACCATTTTATTATTACTTGATACGATTCGGTTACACTTGTCGAGGGTTAACAATCATGATAACCCACATTTTGGACACTTTTTCAAAAGTACAAACATGTATCCTTTTATACTCCATACCCATCGGACAAAGAATTTTCTTTGCATCATAATTACGATTGGGTAGTATATTTCCATCTGGAAACATTTCATTCAACAACGTCAACAATTCTGTGAAACTCTTATCAGTCCATCTATTGGTTGCCTTCAAATTCACGAGTCTGAACTCCGCTGACAAACGTGTGAACTTAGCTTAACCGACATACAAATGTGTTTCCGCATCTGTCGACTTTGTCTCATACACATGAGCTTTGGAAAAATTTTCTGCGCCAACATCGCGAATCATGTCCTATAATTTGTCTTCATCTGGTCGATCTTCTTCCATGGTGGAATCAATAACATTCTCAGTTTAGGAGACCGTCGAAAAATGTATTTCTTCGTCGTGCCATATCCATTTTGAATAGCATCACAGGAAACCATCACAGATAAGATGTCCCCTAATTTGGTTTGCGTTTAACTTTCTCCCATTTAAACAGTTCACACAAGGACATCTAAACTTCACTTCATCATCANCAGAGTTTGGCTTTTCATTCGTTTGCCCCATCTGATGAAAGACACGAAAAGCATCCAAAGGGGAGTTGGAGGCCACGTAAGCGGCAATCATGGAGCTCCAGGTCACAACATCTTTAACAGTCATTTCTTCAAACACCTTGCGCGCTGACCTTACAGAATGGCAATCAGCATACATGTTTAAAAGGGCATTACCCACATAGGGATCGGAGCAGAATCCGGTCTTGAAGGTGAGAGAATGGAGGGTCCGACCGAGGGGGAGGCAGGAAGAGCGAGCGCAGGCTTTGAGGAGAAAAGGGTAAGTGAAGCAGTCCGGGTTAAGGGTTGAGGTTTGGAGGAGGCGGAAGAGGGAGAATGAGTAGTGGGGGTTGGGGATGGAGGCGAAGGCTCTGATGAGGGTGTTCCAGGCGAAGAGGGGTGGAAGGGTGGGGAGGGAGTGGAAGAATGTGGTGGCAAAGGGGAGGGAGATGGCGGAGGCTGATAAGAGGAGTTGGGAGATGAAAAAAGGGTGGTGGTCCAGGGAGGTTTTGAGGAAGAGCGAGTGAAGTTGGAGGAGATGAGTAAGGGTTTTGGAACGCTTGATGAGGGTGATGGCGTTTTCCCATACCCACCCTCCCATCAATTTCACGTTACAAGTTTTACTCTTTATCTATTTGTATTTATTTTTATCATTTAATTTATAAATTAGAGAATTAACACTATAATTATATTATAAGGTATCTATTACATGAAAACATTAGAAAGAATTAAATTCAATTTAACATGCAGATATCTAACCCTAGAAATCTAACCCTAAATAAAAAGGAACCTCGTCAGAACGAGAGAATTGTTTACCGTGTTTTCTATACTCTTACCCCATTAATTAGTTTTGACATGAGCATATTTTTTTTCTTCTTTTTTTATTAGAGAAAATTGAAGAAAGTAATGGTAAGGTGAGAGCTCTAGTACAATATTTGCTATTAAACTCGCACAATATACCACCTCATTTTACACCAAACGGCTACCTATCAAAACGCGGTGACATATTTGTAATTAAGGCGACCTTATAGGCCTCGGTTGCATGCACAACCGAAGCATAATGGAGCTACCACCTCGGCTGCATGTAGAACCGGTGCTAAAACCACCTACCCGCCAGACTTTTGGGTTGACAACTTTATGAAAAGGTGATACTACCTCGGTTTCATGAAGAACCGAGGCATAAAACCTCTGCCACACCTGCAACTCACTGAACCTGCCAAACTTTTGGGTTGACAACTTTATGAAAAGGTCATACTACATCGGTTCCCCTCAGAACCGAGGCATAAAGCCTCTGCCACCTCTGCACCGTATGACTTTTTGAAGCTTCTATTCGTTTTCTCCAGGAGCTACGACCTCAGTTTCTTTAGAGCCGGTGTCAAAAGTTAATTCGACTTCGGTTCCATTTCTGACTGAGGCATCTATTGCTTCGGGTGTTTTACACAACCGAGGTAGTATCGTTTATTAAGTTCAAAATTTTCAGCTCATTTCATTTCTTCTCGTGTTGTTGCTTCTGCTTCTTCTTCTTCTTTCTCTTCGCATGATATAAGCTTCATTGCTTCTTCGTTGCTTCTTCGCGCTGCTGCTTCGTCTTTGCCGCCACCACTGTTGTTCTCCCCAAGGGCTGCCTCCACCAGCGTCGCCAAGGTGAGTCCTTTGTTTTATTTGTGCCGCCTCCATCATCGCCGCTTCGCTGTGATTTGTTTAGTTTTTGGTGTTGCATTCGTCCCTGTCGTTCTCACCTTCGTAGTTGTTGCTGTCGTAGCCCCCACTGTCATCATTGTTGGTGCTGCCCATCACGGTAAGTTTTTCAAATGTCTTTGATATTTGAGTTTGTATATTGGTTGAAACTATTCCAGTGTCTCTGTTCTCTGCGTTTTGCTTCATATTTTGTTTTGTGTATGATTGTAAAGTCTTGAAGCTGGGTTCCTGTTTCTGAACTTAAGGAGTTGATAGTGGCGTGTGTTCTAATACTAGAAAAGGTTCAAAATTTTGTGCGTTTCTTTTTGCAGTGAACATTGTTTGAATGATGAATGGGGCGATTTATGTTATGGAACCAGAAAGCTATAAGTGTTATCGATTGTTGTGTTTGTTATTATGGATTGGATGGAAGATAGTAGGACGCAAGGTTTGCAAATAATAAGGAATTAATCATGAATCAATTTTTAAAATTAGTATGGAAACATAAGCAGGTCAATTTTCTTGTAAATTATGTAAATGTACTTATTCAAAGGAATTCTGGAATAATATGGAAAGTCATACTCAAAAGAAATGACCTTCTGGCAGATGAAGTTTTGGTCCAAAGTTATTTTGTATGAATCCAACCTAACATTACCTAAACCCTTTGCTCACACCGTAGGAAGACTTTTATCCGTTCAGTAGGAAGAGATGACAACATTGTCAGATATAGGGTATTCCGTTAGTTGGATAAATTAATCAAGTTGTTAATAGTATGTAATTGGCAAAATCAATCCTCCACAATTTAACTTTTGAACAAATTTAAGATGAGATAAGCAAGGCACTAAAATTACTTTTCAACAATATAACCCTTTATTTAATCTAAATTAAATTACTATATATGTTGTGTGTCTAATAATAAATGCATTAAAGAAAAAAGATTGGTGAACATCTTATTTGTTCTAAACATTTAGAGAGAATTAGAAAGGAATGAAGAAAAAAAAAGATAATTCATAAACATGACTAACAAATAATGAAATGATAAAAGAAAAATCAAGTATGTTAATAAGTTCTTATAACTATCAGTGTATTATTCTCATTTGTTGTTTGCTTCAATATATTGTTTGTTTGAATATATTGCAAGTTGTATATGTAATTATTTGTTTGCTTGAATATATATTGTTGTTGACAATTAGCCTTAATTTCTCGTTTGAGATTCAATACAAAAATTATTTACTATCTCCAGATTTTTTGAACAAACGTACCTTTTACAAATGAATAGAGGAGATGGCAATAACAATTTACAAGTTTTGAATCTTAAACTGTCCAGTTGGACAATTTAAGAAGAGTAATAACCTTTTCATAGTTTATTATAACATATCAATTTTAATATACATGTCTTAAATTTCATGAAAATTTGCCGTTGTGTTTTTGTATTGATCTTCGGGTGCATATTTGATTGTGATTTATAATCACTTTCATTTCGTGTAACCTGAAGACCAATTTGAAATGCTGGCAAAATTTCGTGAAATTTAAGATATGTTGTTTAAAATTGATATGTTTAATAAACTAAAAAAAGTGAATCTTCTTGAATGGGATAGGGTCACACCTTGAATACAAACATGATCAATGTGATCATTCAAGATTATTGAAATTGTGTAAACAATTTCAGTAAACATGAGTACGGATCGAGGGTGGATTAATTTACCATGCATCAACAATGAGTACGAGAGAGGGGTAGAAGAATTTATAGAGTTTGCGCAACGTAATGCGAGTACAAGTAGTGATGATGAAGTCAAGTTCAGATGTCCCTGTGTGAACTATTTGAATGGGAGGAAGTTGAACGCAACTGATATGAGAGAACATATTATCTGTGATGGTTTCATACGAAGTTATACAACATGGATATGGCGCGACGAATTAATAGACTTTCCAACTGTCTCTCCAACTGAAAATGTATATGATTCCACCATGGATATGGAAAATCGAACAAAAGAAGACAACTTAGAGGACATGATCCGCGATGTTGGCGCAGAAGCTTTTGCCCAAGCGGATGTGTATGAAACGATGTCCACTGATGCGAAGACTCCTTTGTGTACCGGTTCAACTAAGTTCACACGATTCTCAGCGGTGTTAAGGCTCATGAATTTAAAGGCGACCAATTAATGGACTGATAAGAGTTTTACAGAATTGTTGTCGTCGTTGAATGAAATGTTGCGAGATGGAAATACGTTACCCACTCGTAATTATGATGCAAAAAAAATTCTTTGTCCGATGAGTATGGAGACGGATACATGCATGTCCGAATGATTGCATATTCTATAGGAATGAGAATGGAGTTTTAATAAAGTGTCCAAAATGTGGGTTATCACGATACAAGTCAAGAAACAACAGTGAAGATAGTGGTCACATAGAAAAGAATGGTACTGCTTTGAAAGTAGTTTGGTACCTTCCACTCATGGCTAGACTTAAGCCTTTGTTTGTGAATCCCAAAGACGCTAAAAACCTAAGATGTCAAGCAGATGAGAGAACAACTAATGGGCTGCTTCGTCATCCAACTGATTCAAAGCAATGGAAAAATATTGATCAAGAATTCCCTCAATTTTGTCAAGAATGTAGAAATCTTATGTTTGGCTTAGCTACTAATGAATGAACCCATTTGGTAATTTAAGTACCAATCACAACTGTTGGCCCGTTATACTGATAATTTAAGATTTATTTCCTGGATTGTGCATGAAAAGAAAGTACATGATGTTGTCAATGTTGATATCTGGTCCAAAGTAGCTTGGAAATGACATAAATGTTTATCTCAGGCCACTAGTTGAAGACTTGAAGTTGTTGTGGGTTGATGGGGTTGAAATATTTGATGCCTTTGCTTCAGAAACTTTCATGATGCATGCCATGTTATTTTGCACCATTAATGACTTCCTAACTTACGATAATTTGTCAGGGTACAGTGTGAAGGGTTATAAAGCATATCCTATATGTGAAGAAAACACTGCATCTCATCAATTAAAACACTACAGCTCATCAATTAAAACACGGAAGGAAGACAGTGTATATGCGTCATCGGTAATTTTTACAATCTAATCATCCATACCAAAGGTTAAAGAAAGCATTCAATGGAGAACAAGAGAAAGACAATGGACCCATTCCACTTACTGGACTTGAAGTTCTTGAAAAGGTTAATAGAGTACATTATCTATTTGGGAAAACGTCCAAGAAGTCTTCTGTAACTACCCCTTGGAAGAAGAAATCAATATTCTTTGATCTTCCATATTGGTCAAAGTTAGATGTTAGACATTGCATAGATGTCATGCATGTAGAAAAGAATGTTTGTGATAGCTTGATTGGTATACTACTAAACATCCAAGGAAAAACAAAAGATGGAGTGAATGCGCATTTGGATTTGGTTGACATGAAGATCAAACAAGAGTTGGCACCAAGAGAGATTGGTAAACGTACTTATTTTCCCCCTGCATGTTACACAATGTCCAGACAAGAGAAGATAAGTTTTTGTCTTTGTTTAAAGAGTATCAAGGTACCACAAGGATACTCTTCAAATATCAAGAGCTTAGTGTCAATGCAGGACTTAAAGCTTGTTGGACTCAAGCTCACGATTGCCACGTCTTAATGCAACAATTGTTACTGGTGGCAATTCGTGGAATTTTGCCCGAAAAAGTTAGGCAGACCATAACTCGATTATGCTTATTTTTCTCGTCAATTTGTAGTAAAGTCATCGATCCTACAAAGTTATATGAACTTCAAAGCGAAATTATCATCATCTTGTGTCAGCTAGAAATGTTTTTCCCTCCATCCTTTTTTGACATCATGGTGCATTTACTTGTTCATTTGGTCAAAGAAATAAAGTTGTGTGGACTAGTATACTTAAGATGGATGTACCTTATTGAGCGTTATATGAAGATT